TTGCGTTTCTTTTTTTGACAGAGTTTATATAAGAGCTGTTAGTATGGACTTTGCTTCTGTTGTGAATATTGAGCTGTTATCTGGTAATCTAGAGGATATTGGTCTGGATCCACAGTGGCACAAGCAACTGCTCCACCATATTTGGACCCAATTGTAAATAAGGATTTGTATATATTATGTTTACATTTTAATTGATTAAATTATTGTTCATATTGTAATTCATTACTTTCAGACTTTTTAAATGTGGTTAATGTTAAGTCAACCTGTGGCCTCACTAATTGCCAAGGAGGAGAAGAAAGATCCCTTCTTTGAAATGGTTTCTCCCTTATGTCGTACTATATTAAACACGGGTGCCTTCACACCTCTGTCACATTTGTCGATTTTTACGTCTTTTTTCTGCAATTCGCATCGTTCATCGCAATGTTTTAATTATGTTTCCCTGCCCGGGCAGACCACAAGGATCCTAGCCACCCATACAGCCAATGGACCCCAGACACCACCGGCAACCCAGGCAGCTCAACAGGCTACCCCTACGACAGAGGCGCCGGCACAGGCCTCGTCACAGAGCTTATCGTCCTCATCACCGATATCTACAACCCCTTTATTGGCAGTGGCACAACGGGTTATGACCTCCGTGAATGTGAGTAAACACAATATTTGTTAATTGTTTCTGCAGCACACGTGTTACTTGTTCTAAACGTTTTGAATATGTCACCTGGCTCTTTACACGCCTACTGTATATATTCCTATATAGCATATGTCTAAAATGGTTGTGTTCCTTACTAAATTGAGCGGATGAGTGAGAAATCATTGACAGGTAATCCTGTACGAACGCGTTGAACCGATGACTGGTCAGCTTATGAGGTGGACACTTGAACCACCAGTCTCCCTACTACTTACACGGGTTATATCACAACTGTGCAGACGGATGGCCGTGATATCAGACACTATACTGTCTTGTTCGGACACATTTGCAGACAGCTGACACATGTCTGAAGTATTCTTGGGTGCTCAGTTAAACAGCAAACAAAGCAGAATATTTCAGCTATATTTACATGCACACACACTTTGAATAGAGATGTTTAGACAGATGATTACAGTAGGATGACTCGTCTTCTATTTGTTATGTTGCAGCTTGTTGAAGGCCGGCTACAGAAGCTGCAGGAAGAGCTTGGAACTCTCCGGGTACAGGCTATTGGAGCAGGAAGACATCCAGCTGACAGCCAAGGTAAGCCTAACAACCCAATGTGAACATGATAAGGTGTGTGTGATGTCGCCTAGTGTTATCACAAGTCGTACATACGGCGTTAACGATACGTCTCTCTCTGCATAATAAGATAATGGATTATCGACCACCTGGAAATACTCTTTGGCTGTTAATATAACTTTTAAAGAATTGTAATCAGTTCTTGGAAGTTCACGCTGATTGGCTTTTTGACCCGTCTAGTCCACATAGAATTTTGTCCTAATATACCAAACAAAATACAAAAACATCAAGCACAGGTGTGTTAATAATCATGAGTACAGGCACATTATCTGTACTGTGTCCTTTTGGTTTTACAACTCTACAGTAAGCGAGCACAGAAACGTCCACATCAGCAGTTTTGACGTCGGTCACCGTAGCCACCCAGACGGTGCCAACTGTGAGAAGGAAGCGAGGCAGGGATGTTGGGGCTGCGAGGGTCAACCTCTACAGAAAATACAGAAATAGATTTCGAAAGAGGCTAAAACATGTCAACGCAAACTCTCCATGTGCTGGATTGACTACAAAACTGCATGTGACTGTCCCTCATGAATGGATTCTGAAGTCTCTTCATTGTATTGGCCTTCCCGAGCGACTGCATGATTTACTCAAGTCTTTGGGGTAAATGATTTCGCCAAGAAGTAGGCATCCCCATGGGCACCAATTGTGCTCCCCTGTTTCTTTATGCATTTGAATCAGAATTTCTGCTTGGGTTGGCAAAATATAAACAATGTAATTTGGCCAATAAGTCTAACTTAAGCTTCCTCATTAAATATCGTTCAGTAACCATCATATAGCCAATTGCCTTCCACTGATTTACCCACCTGAACTTGAAATTCAGGAGACATGTGTGACCGCCTCACTGTTCCATACTTATATCCATGCATAAAGAGTAACAGTGACCCCTAAAAATCTTCACATTGGTGTTTACATTTCACAATTTTTGAGGTACAATCGAGCGTGTTCTTTTTATCAGGATTTCAAAGACGGTCATGCCGCTCTTGCCCAGAAGTTCGTTCGATCAAGGTTACAACTGACACGAGTCAGTCCCCTGCCTTCGACATAGTGTAATATTACACTATGTCGAAGGCAGGGGACGTGTGTGACACAGGAACGGGGATCGTTACGCACGTGTTCTGTTCTGGATTAGCTGTGTACTCTTATATTAATCTCGACTTGGCCTTGAGCTGATTGTGTTGATAGGACTCCTTACAGCGTCCATGAGTCGAGGCAACACCCAGGAGCCTGGCCCACAAGGTTTGTTATGTTCTGAGTGCAACACTAGTAAGCAAAACGGGGCGGTGGGGTAGCCTAGTGGTTAAAGCGTTGGCTCGTAACGCCGAAGACCCTGGTCCAAATCCCCACATGGGTACATTGTGTGAAGCCCATTTCTGGTGTCCCCGCCGTGATGTTGCTGGAATATTGCTAAAAGCGGCGTACAACCAAACTCGGTCAGTAAGCGAAACTGTGACAGAAGACGCAAACCAGGAAGATACTGGCTGATATGAGTAGGTGAAAAGTGGAGGTAAAACATGGCATAAATACTGATACTGCTCACAGTACTTCCCACCACAAACATTGCCTTCTTAACAGTGTTTGCACGCCAGAATACTATTACTGTGTTTGTACAATTTATTTGGTTCAACCTAACACACGGTCATACAAACTTGCCATTGACGTTTTTTATCGTTTGTTTATCTGTCAGGAAAAAGTGAGAATGTGATGTAGAAAGTGTTTGTGATACGGGGAATTGCATTGTGTAACCAATATCGAGTGAGTGAGCGAATCAGTGAGTGAGAGATTGTGGAAAGCTTTACGCCGGTTTCAACTTGGGACATAAACAAAATGACTTTACACATTACACCCATGTTGGGAGGCGAACCTTGACCTTCGAACCATTTAAACCACAAAGCCACCCCACCGTCCATTCCTGTCAGAGAATTTGAATACCACAATCCGCAAGCACGGGAGTCTAATCACTTACAGTCATCATCGTACCTTCATACATATGTTCAGCAATAACAGGCGTCGATATACAAGTGCGTCGGTAAAAACATGTTCAGCGTGTATATTGAAACCCGGCCCTTAAAGATGCGGGTTAGAATCGGTGCTCAGCAACCCATGCTTGTCGTAAGAGGCGACTAACGGGTTCGGGTGTTCAGACTCGCTGACTTTTTTGACACATGTCATCGTATCCTAATTACGTAGATTGATGCTCATGATGTTAATCACTGGATTGCCTGATCCAGACTCAATTATTTACAGACCGACGCCATATAGCTGGAATATTGCTGAGTGCGGCGTAAAACTCACTCACTCACTCACTCATTGATTGTTTGGTTTGAAGCTGATGAATCATAAGAAAGGTATGCTACTTTATGAGTGACAAATCTTGTCGCTCTTGATTGACAACGGTATAAACATCTATACTGAAACGTCACATCATAATACCATAAATAAGTCGTTACCCATAAAGTAGCATAGTTTTCTTTGTGGAGCTGTTTTATCAAGAAACTGTACACATTAACAACTGACAGCCAAGCACTGTCCCGAAAAATAATGGCTGTAGACTTTAGAGTGGCTACACACTCATGAGTTTGTATTTACCGTGAAACCCTTTGCCTGTAAATGAGAGATGTTGACAGTCCAGATATTCATTTACGACAACTCAGGCAGCGCTCATGTCTGGATACAGAAACATGCGCTGTTGTGGACGGTTGTTGTAACATGAGTTGCATAATGTTCCTGTTTTATTAATACGACAATACTCTAACTGATGAGACGACTTCCTCGTTGCACAAAAATACCTCGGTGAAACAGATAAGCGGGTATTGAAAACAAGTCAGACTGGTATTCAAGTTTAGTAACCGAACAAATAGGTTATGTTGACAGAACAGCATAAACTGAACTACCACACAGGATACCTTTGCATTAAGAGCTTGTCTATTTCACTGTCAGCTGGGGACTATGTAAGAAAGAAGAATATTGATCCTTGACTATACCTGTTGTGTATAGAAATAACATTTCACATCCTGGTCATGTTGTATACCAGTATACAAGGTTGTACAACTGTACGATACTGGCCGTGTATGTAGCTGTGTGTCGAAACACATGCCATATTTTGTTGAAACTTGTGAGAACACACAAGTATGGTTGTAGAGCCCTGTTTGTTCCAATGCGACGTGGATGTTTCAGTCTTTCCATCACACGCTGTGGATAGTTGAAGTCATTTTAAGACATATTTTGGAATGTGTGTCGCTACAATGAAGATCTGGAACATACTGGTCTGTGTGTGGATAGGCGTTATACATGGAGCTATGCTAGAAATGGTGAGTATGAGTATGCCTGTGAAATGTCTACCCTTAAATGTGCACTTACACATACAAATAATTATTCCGTATTAATTGAAATTAGTTGAACGCCTTATGAGTCCCAGTCATTTAATGTACATATCTGACAAACATGCTAATCATTCGTCATTTGGCCGTCACGCCGAAAGCCCAGGGTTTGATTACAAATGTGAAGTCTACATTGTGTGTTCATTCTAACAATAGGTAATATGGTATGCGTTGTTATCGATTGTTGTTATCGATTAACATACCAGTACACTAATCCAGTGTATTTTGCTGATAACGTATCTGAATGTAGTTATGTGAAAACTAATAAGCGTGATTATGGTATACATACATGACAACCAACACATCCTGTAGGTTAAACTGTTCTCGAAACTCTAATGGTGGTTCCTTTGCTTCCCCAGTTGAACTTGTACTGACGAGCTCACCATTATCAGCAACAGACGGAGAAACCTTCACCTTGATCTGTAGCGGCACTTCTGGTTCTGCAGTAAACATAGCATGGTTGCAGAACAATACAACAAAGGTCATTACGCAAATGAGCAACAATTGTACTAAGCAACCACCCCGTGTGGGGAATAATAACATCAACCGTTTCAGTGTGAGCTGCAATGCCACGGTCCACAGTATAGAGTTTTGTTTCAACTCCGCTACAGACCAGGGAGGATGGCAGTGCGGGAAGCTTGTAAACGACACCTACATATACCCGAGAAGCAACATTCATAGTGTAGGTGGGTATGACGAATTAGCTGTATTCATTTTATATTTTGACAATACAGTAAATTGTAAGCAATGTAATCATCTATTGTCATACAATAAACAAAATACCAGAAAGTAAACACGTCAGTGCTAGACCCGTGCTATTTGAAAGCAAACAAAATTTCTGAATAAGGATTGACACATTATCGAAAAAACGTCATTCGAAATATATTTAATTATTTGGAACCTGTTCTGTTTTAATTTCACTGTGTATAGAATAATATTAAAAATAATATGACTGAAATGAATGGCTATGTTCTGAAAGGAAGATTACTGATAAGCATACTCATCATTCACAGATATAAACACCCGTCTCAGAGATAAGGGGGAACATGCCCAAACATCAAGTCAATGACCAATCTACTTTCAGGTGCTCTAAGTCCTGTCACGTCAACTCTGTCTTCAACAACAACGACCCGGTGTATGGAGACTACGTCCGAACCTGGGACAATGACGTCACAGAACGGTAGTTCTCTCTGATATGTACATATCGTACTCACTTCCTATTCCAGTTCCGATAATTATCTTTGACATCACGGTAAATTGTCGGCAATGTAATCATCTATAGCCATAAAATTAATAACACCTAAAAGCTGATGTCAGTGACAGACACGTGCCGTTTGAAAACAAAAGAAACATCAAGTCAGTGACCAATCTCCTTTCAGGTGTTGCAAGTTCTGTCACGTCAACTCAGTCTTCATCAACAACGGCCCGGTATATGGAGACTACGTCCGTACCTGGGACAGTGACACCACAGAAAGGTTGTTCTCTCTCAGATGAACATATCGTTCTCAGGATATATGCAGGATAACGATATACTGATCAGTGGAGCATGAATTACAGTTTAAATAGGAAGTCAGACCAGACAGAAGTAGTTGTAACTGAACGATTTACAGGTCGTTACAGTGGTGAAATACTTGAGGAAAGTTGCGTTTAGAAAGTGAAATTCTTTATGTAGACATAAAACCCAGGAAGACAGTTTCACTGTGTGTATGTATGTTATTATGAAAAAGTGTAACATGTATGTTGTCATGGGTGTATGCTGTTTCCTAATGGGAATCATTCGAATTAACTGTAACCAACTATGTTTGCACAATACTAACTGTTATGTGTAGCGACCTTTTGACTTAATATATTGCACACACAATGCGATATATTTGGAAATGTCAGGCTGAGAGTTAAACGTCAAAGACTGGGTATTAAACATCTATATCAAATAATACGTGAATTAATTGCCGTTTTAGGCCGTACTGCTTACCACAAAGGTTAGCGGTAGCTATATAGGTGATCCGCAACGATCGTCAAACAATGACAAACAACATTATACTTCTTTGATTCTTCGATTGGCATTCTAGAAGTTGAGGAGATGAAGAATGAGGACAACATTTATGGATATACATAGATATTATCGTTGTCAAGCAAGTGCTTCTACATTAAAATCTATGTCGAAACGTCGCCTATACAGAATAAAAAATAACATTGTCCTCATTCTTAAAGGTCACATGCAACCAAAAAATAAAACATAATTAAAACACAATTATCACTTATTCATGACATATAATATACATTTCTGGATATGAAGAAACATATAAACAAAATTATAAGCGTACAATCGCAAATCAAAAGTGCAATATTGTGTACTTGGGGTTACTTCCCAAGAAACGAAGCAGCCGGCACACCGAACCCAGTCAGAGCGGGTGGGTGTGCACTCAAGTGTAACGGCTGGTTCATTTGCAGATTCTCTCACGGCTCATTGTGTGTGTATATATAGAGATGTTGGGTTTTGTAAATACATGCTCATTTTTTGTGTATAACATTTTGCAATCAACAGACATCATAACATGTCATGTGTTCAAGTATCACACCTGCCTGTCTGTGTAATTACATAATGTGACAGAAACCGAACTCGGGCCATAAGTCAATGCGTTTTGTTTATGGTGTATAGCCTGATTGGTGTTAAGTTCAAATTGCATGTGGTCAGTGATCGCAGCTGTGTATTGAATATTGTCATTAGCAGACAGGCAGGCAGACACACAGGTGTCAATAAAACAAGACATTGAGTTTTGTCTGTGACAACGACATATCTATATCACAGTAAGAAATTCTGTCAATGCTAAATAATGACATTGCTTTTAAGTATCAAACTGAGAAAGTGACTCGGTAAGAAGAACGTGTGATGAAATAGATAAATGAAATTATATAAACAATTAATTTACTGTCATAATATATAAAAAGCTCGCGCCTCTGAGATATCAACAAAACATTAAAAAAATAGCTCACACCAAAGTCTTCACCGAGTATTCACCGGACAACCCGCTTCCAAGCTGCGCGAACCTATTTCACTGCGCATGTGCTATGAGTGCAGCCCAGCTGTTGAAACCAGTTTTCCCCCGAAAAGTCGGGGGAAAATTAGTGAATAGTTTGAACTCCGATTTCGCGCGGTTTTTTTATCGCGTTATTTTTCAAATTTATAAGTTGAATTTGCATTTTTGATGATTTGTTTCGGTAAGTCCATACCGAAAGGTATCAGAATCGGCAAAGTTGTGTTTTACGTTGCATGTGACCTTTAAGCTACATTCTAACCTCGTATTATGACGTCACAGTAACGTCCTCATTGATCGTCCATTACACTATCGTCCCGAGACTTTTGTTTTAAGTTATAGATTACCGTTTTACCTATTCATGGTTAAAGGCTTTTAAAAACAAAAATACCAGTAAGTACCATTTATGCGAAATGCGAGTGGTTTCCTTTTTGGCCTCAAAAGTAACAGGAATAAGGGTTTAGATACTATCGAACAAATTGTTGCTTAAATATACTTCATCTATTTGGAACATGGGTCTGTTTCAATTTCACTGTGTATCTTAGAAAATATTTTAAAAAAACCAAGGTCTGCTGAAATGAATGGCTACGTTCCACAAGCCTAATGCTTAAGAAGTAGGTTCATCATATAAACAGAGATAAACACTCGTCTCTCAGGTTAGGGGGAATATGCCCAAACCTCAAGTGAATGATCAATCTACTTTCAGTAGTTTCAAGTTCTGTCATGTCAACTCTGTCTTCATCAACAACGACCCAGTATACGGAGACCACGTCCGAATCTGGGACAGTGACACCACAGACAGGTAGTTCTCTCTGATGTACATATCGTACTCACTTCCTATTCCAGTTCCGATAATTATCTTTGACATCACAGTAAATAGTCAGCAAAATTAAAAACAGCCAAAAGCTGATGTCAGTGACAGACACGTGCGGTTTGAAAACAACCGAAACATCAAGTCAGTGACCAATCTCCTTTCAGGTGTTGCAAGTCCTGTCACGTCAACTCAGTCTTCATCAACAACGACCCGGTATATGGAGACCACGTCCGTACCTGGGACAGTGACACCACAGAATGGTAGTTTACTTTGACAGTTCCACTTCCTGTTCCACTGGTGAAACATTTAAGATCATGAATTATTGAGTTTAGAAATTGATCTTACATTCGGAAAGATTGTAAGACTGTATTTTTTGTATTAATCATTATGAAAAGGCTGTGTATGTTGTTTCATAATGGGAATGCGATATGGAAATGTTAAGCTAAGAGTAAAGTAAACACCCACAGACATACCAAATAATACGTGAATTAGTTTGGATCCTATTTGTGACGTATTGCTTCGACGCAATTTGAACAATGACAACAACATAGTAATCATTGGAACGTCATAAGCATTATTACATACGCTATTGCATTTTTAAGGATTTACTAAAAGTAGTTACTCTACCGAATAGAAACTCTTTTATGCAACACGAATATATGACAACAATGTCTTTCATGCGAGTATCTATTTACTCATTGACATGTAATCAGCTATTAACCATACCTGATGGAGAACAAAGCACACTGGACAATGTATGCAGACAAACACAAGGCCAGTGTAGAGACTATATTGTATATCAGTTAGCGATATGATTGTCGAGAATGATATGTTGTTATACGTCATCAACACCAGTCTCTGTTTATAGTGTAGCCACACCCAGTAATGTTGTCGATGTTGCTAGAAATGACCCGTCGTGGTACAAAGTCATCTTATCAACCAAGTCAATGAGTCACAGCCTGCGATTTCTGCAATCAGAACACTGTAAAAGTAAAGTATTGTAGCACATGTTACCTCCCCTGACATTTCAAGCTGTGTCCTTATTAGGTCTAGAACCACATTTGGGGTACTAATTTTCAGTGAGACCTTTACATGACATTTTCTCACACTGCAGACATATAACCCCCTCAATCGTCACAAGCTGTATCTGACTGTGTCCTGGACCAAGCATTATACTGTGTTTCAGTCTCTACAGATGACGGTGATACAGACACCATCTACATCGTGGTTGGTGCTGTAGGTGGAGCTGTTCTGCTTGTCGTCGTTGTCGTCGGCATCGTGTGTATCCGACGGAGAAGACAAGCAGCACGGGCAGTGTTTGTACTGAAATGTAACATAAGTTTCGCTAATATAAAATTTTGGCAAAGACATAAATAATAATGTTTAACCTAAAAGGCAGTTTAAATACTGGAAGTAATATCATATATATTGTGCGTTTACAATCAGGTACTTTTATCGATTGTCAGAGTTATATCTTGTTAACGGTCACGGTGCAGCATAACGCCGATCATTTCTCTTTCCAGATCAAAAGGAAGATATGAAAGGAGAAACGAACATTACGGCGTGAGTATATTACAATGACGTACAAAAACATTTTACACAAAACATGGAAGCTCACGCATCCAAATTCACACACAAACACATCTGAACACATACTCACAGGGGACGGTGGGGTAGCCTAGTGGTTAAAGCGTTCGCTCGTCACGCCGAAGACGCGGGTTCGATTCTCCACATGAGTACAATGTGTGCAGCCCATTTCTGGTGTCTCCCGCCGTGATATTGCTGTAATATTGCTAAAAGCGATGTAAAACTAAACTCACTCACTTACTTACGGATCCTCCACGCACACACAGAGAGGGGCTAAGATATGATGCCACACGTCTCCTCCTTTTCCCACTCCCTCACAATGTGAATGTTTAAAGTTGTTTGTTGAAGATTATTTACATTGCTTGTCACACATAAGTTATTTCAGTTTTTCTTCCAGCGCTCAAGTTTATCCAAACGCGGCAAATTGCGACATGGGTATGTTTTATCAATCATCTTATTGTTATTTGTATAACTCGATGATAAAATAACTGAATTTGGAATCAGACTGCAGGTGGCAACTGTGGTACAGGACCTCATGCTATGTTCCCACGATAATATTGTATTTGTCTTCTACATGGAGTCAAATATTTGTATTATACAGCCGATACTTATCTGAATGAGAGCTCCTTTGACGTCCCCGTCTCTCCAATCAACGTTACCCTTGCAATATTTCATGTTTGATAGTCCACGTTCTGTTATGAGTTGTTTTGTATATTTCAGTCGAAAATGAGTTGTATAGACGGTCACGTGATATCTTCCCTACCAACGAAGCTGAAAATCAGGAGGATGACTTCATTATGTCAGGTGACACTGCCTTCTAACATGTCTCTTATAAATGTCACAATGAAGACTTGAAAGGTCGATCTGATCCCATTCTATAATTTTGTCTTAACTATACTACCGACAAAAAATAAAGGAAATGATGAAATGACAATGAATGTGGAATTGCTCTAAATGTCCACAAAAATCAATTTCGGGGGTAAAGATCAATATCTGGTGTGTCCACCATGTTGGGCGACACATTCACGAAACCTTGATGGCATACTGTTGATTAACCTCCGGATGGTTGCCCGTGGTATTGCCCGCCATTCCGCCTGAAGAGCTGCCCACAAGTTGGGCCAGATTGACGGGTGCGGGGTCCCTGGCGTACACCCTCCGGCCGAGAACGTCCCACAGATGCTCAATTGGGGACATGTCTGGGAACTTAGAGGGCCAGTCCAATGTCTGTATACCCTCTCGTCGGAGATAAGCGGTGACGACTTGGGCACGATGTGGTCTGGCATTATCATCTTGGAATTCAAACTTCCTGCCGACAATTCTAGCCAGTGGAGCCACGACAGGACAGAAAATTTCGTCAACATATCGCTGACCAGTCAAGTCTCCATTAACGATGACCAGATCCGATCGCCATTCATGGAATAACGCCCAATACCATGGCACTACCGCCCCCATACTGATCATGGTCAATAATAGCCGCTCTGGCATACCGCTCACCGCTACGACGCCAACAACGTTTTCTGCCATCTGTGAATCGGAGGCAAAACCTTGACTCATCCGAGAACATGGTGTAACGCCAATGGCGCAAGGCTGATACTGCCTAGCCCACACCAGTCTTTGGTGCCTATGGTGAGCTGTGAGGGTGACACACTTCACTGCCCCCCTTGCTTTCAGACGGGTTTGATAGAGTCGGTTCTTAACGGTTAATACTGAAATTCGTCGTCCAGTTATTGTACGGAATTCCCTATTGATAGCAGGTGCTGATTCGAACCTATTGCATAGGGCCATTAATGTAATGAGACCATCTTGTCTAGGTGTCGTTGAGTTTGGTCTACCATGCCCAGGTCTCATTGCAGCCCCACCCGTTTGACGGTAGTTGTCCCACAGGTTTGAAATTACACTTTTTGATTTACCCAACACACGGACAAGTGGCACAGTGGTGTTCCCCCTTCTATCATACCCACAATTCTCCAATTTGTCTGTTCATTGAGATACTGCCTCGGAGGCATTTTTCAGCGTGTATTCACCTCAATTGTATTAGTGATTCAAACTCTTAGTTTTGTCGGTAGTGTATCATAATATTTGTTTATACTTACATAAGTGGATGTGTTTTCTTGAATACTGGTATTTGCCATGAGTTTATTTTAACATTATAATGTTTCTCCAGATGCATACGCGAGTGTGGATATGTTAACTACGAGCACGTGCACACCACGTGAGCAGGGTGCGTCATGTGACGTCAACGTAGACAACCTGTATGCTAAACCTGATAAAAGCAGGTCTTCAGATGTTCAACAAGGTGAGGCTGATCGATTGTTTAGTTTATTATCCATGATGCAGTCATTAATAAAGGTAAATACGTGGCACGACCTGTTCAGGTCAGAAATGGTCATCGCTGACCTGTGTTTGTTGTCAGAGACGACTAAAGTGACCGGGGCATCACACCCGTGGACGTGGTTGATGCATCTTATGCGTGTCAACGTTTGACCGCTGCGTACCACCACTGGTCCAGAAACGATTATTTACACACTACTGCAACGTTAGAAATACCCGCCTGCCCGACCGACCGGGACGGGTTATTTTCAACACGGACTGCCAGATTCTCAAATTCACCTGCCCGACGGTCGGGTTAAAATTTAGACATGTATGATTAGTATTTTTTGCTGGCAGGTACGTTTTGGTCAGGGCTGGCAAGAATTACATCTAACCAGCCCTGTGGTCTTGCTGAAATGTTTGGGAGTTTCATACCCTGACTACTGAAACATAGCTGAGTGCGGGTGAGACAACCAACAAACAAACAAACCAACATATGGGAGGCACATTGAAAACCCATTGTGTGAACATCAGTTTCAGACATATATGCTGTAGTAAAGAAACCCAAGAAGAAGAGACAAGATGATCCAAAGGTGTCTGAAGATGTCAACACTGGGGACGTGTACGCCAAACCCAACAAGGGTTGAAGGACATGTTATATGCGGGAAATATAGCAACCAAAGACTTTTAGCTTAAAGCATCGTATCATTCCGATTCAATCATAAACTTGTGGTTTTCAATGACTGTCAAATAGTGATGATACCAGGTATAGATTAAATGTGAGGTGCAACCTGTCCCAACTGCATTCTTGAAATGTTGAATACATTTTACGCACATTTGGTAAAAAGTATTATAATGAATGCAACATTTGATGCTCATAGCTTATACATTTGTAACTGTTACTTGTAATGCACGCAATCTGAATTTTCACTCTTAATTTTCTTGATTTGACAGGATTGTTTCTGTTTGCCATCATACTGACGAAAAAGTAATCTTGTTTTGAAAGATTATGTTATATGTTAACCAGTCCTTTCATTGTGACAACAACATATTGTTTGAGATGTAGTGTAGTGGAAATTCGTATGAACGAAATCAGTGCTCGCCTATGCCCTGCTCCAATAGTCGTAAGAAACGAGCACAATGAAACCGCGATAGTCGGGAACATTCCGAGATCCGGACGTTTGCTTTGTGAAGGTCTGTGTTTACCTATTGGGATTTGGAAACACCTGTTTGGGAATAGCTTATGAAACGTTTCTAATATATGTGTATATATACTATCACCAAAAAGTAGGGGATATCGGACTTTGATGGCTGATGAGAGCCAACGTGTGAAAACGAGAACGGAACAAATGATGAAGAACTG